CGAAATGTTTTTGTAATTACTTTGTAAACAATGAGGTGAAATGTTGTTAAAAATTTTATTGTTTCTTACGCCATAAAATACCGCATAAAATTCAAACTGAATTACACATCAAAATCGTAATGATTTCTCATCTCAGATAAGGTGCTCCGCTTTATTCCATGGTAAATCTCAGTTAACTGTCTTTTAATTTTAAACTTAATTAAATAAACTACTTGCCATAAAAAACAGTGAAATATATGCATTTTTATATAAGTTAATATATGTGTGTGAGTGTATAAATAAACGTATATGTATCTATAACAACTAACTATTTGCATTTTGATTTGTATCTTCTTTATTAGATTTTAAAGCAGGTCACAAATTTCCTCGGCAACAAAAGTAACTTAAAAACTCTTATCTTCGGAGCAGTATCTTAAGGTTTAAATTGTATTAAAATTGCTTAAAATTGTTTTAAGCATTAACATTTAAATAAGTTCATGTGGTTTAGTAAACGAAACGTTTTTAAGATCAAAATCAGAATATTTTAAACATGCAGATGCGGAATTGAGAAGTGTGGCAATTTGAAGGCGTGAGTAATTTTTTAAAACATTTTTTTAATGTCTTAGTTCTTGAAACTGTAAACATAGTTATAGTTATCAAACGTATTTTGGTGGCAAAATAATATATCTGTATATAATAGCATATATTCTTATATTTTTAATATAATTTTAACAATTAAAACTTTAATAAAGAAAGAGTAAGAGGAAAGTTTTGCTTTTGCGAAACTTCTAATACTACGGAAGATATTTTAAAACCAGCATGATCAACCATAATTTGTTGAACTATAATAATTCATTAATTTATAGTAAATCTTGTTGTACTATTATCATTAGTTCATTTCAGCTTTATGACGAAAACGTTATCTATATAGATTCCACCACTAATTATAATTAGTTATAATAATTATTATCTTTTTAAAGTTGATTTAATGTAGCAACTGGTGAGAGCTGACCCCAACGCAATATAGGTATGTGCACTTGCCCACAAGATATTCGTTTATTTTATTTTTATGCACATAAGTATTTTATTTAAATTTTATATTACATACATAAAAATTTAGCAATTTGCTATATATATAGCAAATAATTTATTGCCTACATTATGATGACACATTTTTCAGTAATACAAAAAGTACATAATATAACTTTTATTTTGAGTATTCTAAATTCGTTATCATAGGTGTAAATTTTCTAATTATGATAGCTCTATTACGGTCTCTTACATAAAATGCATATTTAATTTTAAGCATATTCATTTAAAACACCACTAACACCGATGTAAAGTAGTACTAAACACACTTTTCTTCAGCAATTAGGTGTATTATTCGACCTGTTTATCTAAAAGGTCAAACACTGATCATACCATCAATCAAATGAAGATGGCAAATAAGAAGTCATAAAGATACATGATTCTCAAAAGTAAAGATAATATCTAATGGACTCTATTAATATTTATCAGTTTTTTGACTTAAAAGTAAAAGTTTTTTGACTTAAATCTTGATATAGGTAGATATGTCTTGATCATAATATAGATATTTGCCATAAATAACCCAAGTATTAAGTTTTTTCAGATATGTTTTTTCTGATATATTTCAGATCACAAGTTCGATTTCGTATAAACAAATCAGATTATAGAAACGTTTTCCTTCATCTAAAGTCAGACGTATTAAACAAATACAGAATACTCTTTTACTTAGTTGGCCATTTCAGACTGCTATCATCATGGCTTGCTATCATCAATTGATCGTACCGAGGGCCCCCAAAACGTTTCCACCTATGGGTACCGAATCAAACACCTTTCTAATTGAAGCACTTTCTTCCATGGCCGCACGACATGGCCGCTGAGTTATTATTTGCCTAACTATGTCAATATCGCGGTATAGCTCATACAGCTCATTGTTCCGTCTAATTCGATAGTCGTTGCCATCGTTTGAGGGACCATAGATCTTCCGAAAAATTTTTCTGTCGAATGATCCTAACGCCTTCTTATCATTCTTGGTAATTGGCCAAACTTCTGCACCATACAGTAGGACATGCGTAATAAGAGACTCGTCGAGAGAAGGATTAATTTCCCAATTGTCTACTTAGTCCGAAGTAACATCTGTTAGCAAAAGTGATTCTTTACTTTATTTTTGTTGTTTACGCTGGTTACTAAATAAACAAAGTCTTTCAGAACTTTAAATTTATAATTGCTAATAGTGACGTGATTTTCAAGACGCTCAGAAGATTTGTTTGTTGACAGAAAGTACTTTGTTTTATCCTCATTTACAACAACACTCAGAATATAGAAGACAGACTTCAAATACTGAATAGAAGAACTTTAATAGTGACACAACAGATATTCTGGTATCTCTTTCTTATTAGAGAGAAAAAACTTATCGATAAGAGTTAAAATTGATTAGGTATAGCACACTTTATTTTTCAATTCATTTGAAAATTTCCTCACTAATACCAACCTTTTTGTATTCGAAATAGATTCATTGTCATAGAATATAAAATTCTTATTTGAAATTAGAATTTTTTATTAAACTGAGTAACTGATTTAAGTTATTGAACTCTTTTACAATGTTCTATATGAAGAATGAAATCCTAAATATAATTTATTTATACATATAATATTGTATTCATTATTTTAAATGTAAAAAATTAAAATTTAAAATTAGTTGTTGAGAGCCATATAGTTAAAATAACATACGTTACACGTAAAAAAATTTTATCGTAAGCTCAAACAATCTCCAGAATTCAGGTTCTCAACACTAGAAATTTGATTGATTGAAACAAAACATCCATTTTACTTATTTTATATGACCTTAAATATGTTGAAATTGTACAAAATATAATTAACCAAGAAAAATTATCCTTAAATGGGCGTTGTTGAACTGTTCAACTATGAAGTGAAAACGGTTATATACACAATCAAATGACAAAAACTGAAATTGCTACTATTAAGATTGCTTCTAATACAAAATCACTGAGTAGAAGCAATTCACTTTCTTCAATTTTAATAGTTGATTGCAATCATATTACAATTCTCATAGCCACATATACACCCCATCCATATTCTAACATATCCATCACAATCCAAAAAAGAAATCTAATTCAGCTGACGAAGCAATTGAAGCGAATGCAAGTCAAACAGTGGTCAGGATCCAAACAGGAAGTTCGTTATCGGTAAAGTTTCTTTCTCTGATTAAATTGTCATGATGTGCTGAAGTACGAGTATCGAAACTGTTAAGAAGAAGAAATTAAAAGAACACAATTACAAAGAAAATGTTAAAGTGAAAGTTTGGAAAATGCGTAAACATGTTATGAATAATGCATGAATTGTCTTAAGTAGTACCAGAAAAAACCATTGAAAATACATACAAATAAAACAAAAATCATTGAAATCCTTTAATCGATAATAAAAATAAAAATAAAGTAAGGGTTATTAAGAAATACAGAAAGTAGAAGTAATCGAATCGAATGTGTGTGATCGAATGTGTACTACAAGAATGTTTCGATAGACATTTAGACAGAAGTTTCTTAAATTATTTTGAGGTTATTATAAAAGAATAGTTAAATTTGGTATTTTCAATATTATTCCCAGAGTAAATCAACCATCATTACTGACAAGCTAAGCACACGCCTGTTGACAGGCAGAAGTTATTTAACTGAATGGAGTGAAATAATTACCAGTAACGATATGCTTCCCAGAAACTATACCAACAACAAATACTTCGATGTACCGGCAACATACAGAGCCTGCCATTTGAATGACCACAAATGGCAGGACTTGTGGCAGATTAACTCGTTTCATGGTGGTTGCTGTCTTTCGGCTTTAAAGGTATTTAAGGCTTTTCCTCCTCACACAACATATTAAACCAAAAGCAAAAGAGTAAACAATTCAAAGTACGTGAAAGCGATGTGGTCAGTTTTAATGAGTAAATTCTAATCAAGAGCTTAAATAAGGGTTAGGGATTCCATCCAATAAAGGATTAGAGCGCATATATTGAAATAACAAAATATAAACTGAACTCAATTGCATTTTGCATGAGGAGATAGTATTTATATATGAGCAATTTTTATTAAGAAAGCATGTTTTTAAGCGTTTACAAATTTTTGCTTACTAAAGCAAAAGGCGTTAAATTATAAGATTGAGAACAATTCTATATTGTTTTTTTTTTATTTCAAAAGAGCAGAATTTGTCAGTGTATTACAAACACTGAAATCTGTGCACTTTCATACAACAAATAATACACAATATGTTAAAAATTGCAATTTTATTTAAATTTGTGCAAAGGAACTTTTTAAAATTGCAAACATAAATAAGTTGGCGTGAAATTGGCTACTACCGTTCATATCATGCCTAGTAATATCTTTCCTATACTCCATACTTTCATGGATTCGCACTTATGTCGACTTCAGTTACGGCAGATACTTTGCTGAATTGTTCTTTTGCTTTTTGATAAATTTCTGTCATTTAGTACACTCGCGATTTCAATACACTTTTACCGTTCCTATGCCTGCTTTGAGTGCCTGGTAACGCTTGGTAGTTCTCCGACTTCAATGGAAATTGGTGACAGTTGTTGTCGATTGATGCGCGCACAGCCACCGTGACAACATTTTAAATTTGTAACACATTAAATTTATTTTTTATTCGTTCTGTTTTTTATTTTACTTTTAATTTTTTTACACCATTTATTTCTCATATTGCATTGTATTTATTGCTGTTAAAAGCACTAATTTTTTTAAATCCTCCCCTTTACACTAGAACATACAATGCTTCAAGTGTTTGACATATTGTCGGATCGTAAAGTGTATTTGTATCGAAAAGAAATCGATTTACTTTTAAATATTAAATTTACACTTTTTTCAACTTTTATTTATGGGGTTCGATAAATTATTTGATGTTTAATGACTTCACCCAATAATAGAAAAAAACAAACGATTTTTTAATAAAGAAATAGGCAGAAACAAAAATTAATAGTTATTACATACCTTAAAATGAAACTGCATCTGAAACAAACAAAAGCAACATTAT